ATATCTGGGTTCTGCATGACATTCTGAGCCATCTGCCTCATCATCGGGTTCTGCATCATGGACGCGAGGTCAGGCATGCCACCGCCGCCACCTCCACCACCGCCGCCGCCGCCCATCATACCCGCAAGCGCAGACAGGTCAGGCATACCGCCGCCACCCGCACCACCGCCGCCGCCGAACATTGACGCCAAAGACGAAAGGTCGGGCATGCCTCCTGCGCCTGCAGCACCACCTCCTGGTGCGCCCCTTGACGCATCCGGAGCCCCAACATCCCCACCCTCCTCTTCAAACCGCTTCTTCGCTGTCTCGTATCCCTTGCGCATGACATCAGAGCCGCCATCGGCTTCCATACCCGCCTTGTATGCCTCCATAGCACCCTTTGAGTCACCGAGAACATACTTGGCGAGTCCTAACCGCGACCACGCCTTCGAGTAGTTCGGATCCGCAGCCGTCGCCATCTCAGCATCGTCCTTCGCCTCCGCATGCTTTCCCAGTCCTGAGAACGCAGCCGCGCGGTTCGAAAGGTAGATCGGGTTTAAGGGCACGGCGTCTAGGGCAGCCGTGTAATGCTTCACCGCACTCTCGTAATCCTTCCTCTTCATTGCCTCATTGCCTAGACCCTTTAGCCTCTCGCCCTCGCTCTTATTCGGTATTCCCTCTTCCTTGGCCGCAGTCTGCGGGGTGGCGGGTCGAGCTTCCGATGCTGAGCTCGCTCCTTGTGTCGACGCCGTTGTCTTGCCTTTGAGCTTCTCGTACACATTGTAGATGGAGATCAGGTTCTGGCCGCCGAGCGCGTCTTGCACGGCGGAGGTGTCGGAGAGGTCGACCTTGAAGGCTTCCGCGATGCAGTTGGCGGCTACTTCGAGTTGCTCGGCGTCATCGGCGGCGACGCTGCCATCGGTCTGCGAGGTTTGGAGAAAATCGAGGATGGCGAGCGCAAGGCGCTTCTTGGATTGTGCGGTTGCCTGCATAATGGCATTAGGGGGGAAGAGGGGTCTGTTTGGCGGGAGCTTACCATGACGGCAATATAGCTTTGAGATCTGAGGGTCGTAACAGATTCTGCTGTATTGGTATTGTATGGAAAGTGCTGAGTGGTAATTGAGGGTTCGAAAGTCAAAGGTGGTGGAAATGGAGCTTGCACTCGAAGATGTGAATGACGCTCGAAGCTTCCGCGTTAGCGGGGCAATGCCAAGTCTATGCACGTGCGCGGCCTGTCGGAGCAGAGAAATCGGCAGCAAGGTAGATAGCTAAACGGTAGCTTCTCTACAGGGGTAGTTTTGTAGAAAGGTCTGCCAGAGTTCTGAAGGGGGCTTTAAAACTGGTGCTACTGCCGGCTTTCACAGCCCCGCGAGAGCCTGGGCGCGTTTAGGAAATCCAATGTGAAGCATGTCTAGTATTGCATAGTAACCTCCTATAAGCTAGCTGATGGGGTTCCGGGACACCCGGGGTTCCGGGACACTGCTTAGAAATCGGCCACCCCTTAGAAAATCAATGTAATTACCTCAACCTAGTTACAATTGCCACTCTGTACACATGGATTGAAGAGTTTTAGCTGCTGCTTCAGTTGCTGCTCTCTCTGCTTCTTTTTCTGCTGCTTTATCGTTGTTTTGTAACGCTAAAAGATCTGCTGCCTGTTTTGCTATCATGATTGTATCTATATCTGCAAAGCGTTGATTTAGGTCTACCCGTATTCTCTTTCGTGGCTGTTGAGGCTTAAGGGCCTCAAGTT